ATGTTATTCCCAGATGTCCAAGTGGTGAAAAGACTCTGTAGTTGTAAACTAATACAACCTTCACAGAACCTATCAGAATATCTTGTCAATTTACATTTATTACATTCTTTTGGTTTTCCCTTTTTATGCATTGCAGCATCTATTTCAAACATATAAATAAATTCTTCCTTACAATATTCTTTTTCATTTTCAGAAAGCTCCTTGTTTTTTTTGACCAGTGAAAAAAAACAATCTTTTCTGCTTTCTTCATCAGAATTAACCTGAATCTTATTATACATTTCATTACGAATTTTAATTACAGATTCCTTTCTTTCTGATGATAATAATTTATTATGTGACATTATGTACTTTTTCTTGAATGCCGTGTAACAAACAATTTTTTCATACAACATTTTTTTTGATTGCCTCAAGTTTTTGAAAATTGCATTACTTAACAAGAATCACCACAAGACCAGAATGTTTACTAATCATTGACACAAAAAACAATTATTTGTTTGAGTGAAGGAATAAGAATAGGTAATAGTAACAAAATTTTAACCCATGCAATTGTTGATTGACCAATCAAAATCATGAATTTGATAACTTAATAAATGTTGGTTTGATTCATTTTGTCAACAATCACTTCACCAACAGTTGTTTCGTTAACAAATGATTTGAATTTAAGAAATTGGAAGTAACCATGCGGACAAATCTTTGAAATAGTCTAACAAATTAAATTGTACTACTCGAAAATGTATTTAAAGGGTTGCTTTTCAACTTGGTTGAAGAATAACTCTCTTCCTAACTCTTCTCTTGACCATATCTCGATATAATCAAAATAACCTTAATATAATGAATGTCAACATTTAAGATATACGATTAAGACAAAACATGAACGATATATGAAAAAATCAAACAAATTTATTTAATAAAATCAAAGTTACAACCCAAAAAAATTTTTTTTGCATGTCCTAATAAAATTTTCCATTGTTGTTGTTGCTGCATCATTTATTGCTGATTTCAACGTTACCCAGATCATCATCAACTGTATTTTCGATAAACTCATTTTCGTTTAATCTTTTCGTTATATTTTCTTTTAGTGCGTTGACTTTTTTTTTGATTTCGACTTCAAGATAGTCCAAGATATCAAACGTTTAGATTGTCTCCTTTGTAGACATTGATTGTGATAAACCATGTCCATACGTGAGTATATATTTCGTAACATCATAACTTCATAACCTCTTCAGAAAATGACATTGCCAATGGCTAGGATTCTTCAAACCATTGATGTGTATGTTGAGTTTGCTTGCTTGGTGAACTACTAACTAATAGATAATATGAGAGGATATAATTAATTCATTGACTACTTGCAGCAAAAAACCTACTTTAATTTTGGCATCAAAAAAAAAAAAAATCACACGAACGAATATACACAACCTTTAATTACAAAACATCTTGAATTCTAAATAACTGAATTCTCTCATTTAGCTGAAACACCACCTCGCCAGAGACTGTTTCATTAGTTTTGTAGTGATTTTTACCAATCTGATCATGAATAAAATCGATGACATTTTTGACGATGATGAAATTATAAAATATTACATTTATTGTTGTCGTTTGGCGCTAGTATTTATAACTTGAATCAACAATAAAGTAGATTTACAATCAGCACACACACGAGAAATTAAATTAAATGCAGCTACAATCAACCAAATTTGATTAGCTTTACTTTATTCTACCACTTTGGTATTATTAATTTATTGTGATTTACCAAATTGAGTTTATATTAAACCCAATATTCAAGTTTTTGTCATATGCATACGTGCAAACACATGCATAAATGAGCAAAAAAAAAGTGTGTAGTTTTTTTTGTATAACACAATTTAAAAATTATTTACTTTTTAATCAAGAGTACACTGACAAGACTGGTTTTTGTGCAAGATATAAAAAGACGTTTTTACTAATTAGTTAACAATCTAAACCAATCAATTATTTGCGATTAAAAACTTGCCATGGTAATCTATTACTATCCATCTGCATTGGTAAAATCAAAAATGTTACGCCAAAAAAATTAAAACTGACGGTTTTGCTTAATAATATACTAAATGCCCATAATTCGTTATACCATAGTTCGTATAAAAATTGTCTTAATAAAAAAGCTCATTCTATATCTAAAATAGTCATACTACTTATTGAACTTTATCAGCAAAAAATTTACCAAATCGGATGTTGCTTTAATTATGATAATCAAAGGCCGTATTTTCTCTTTGAAATTTTCAAATAAGTAATAATGATTAAAATAAATTAAATCCTGAATTTTTTTAGTTCTAAATTAAACATATTCTACAAAAATTTATAATAATATTTGTTTACACTTTATACATTAAAAAAAAAGTAACAGGCATTTATTTAATTGAATCATAAAGAAAGTTTCAATAATATTATTCAATTTGATTTGATCTACAAGGAATCAAAAGGAACCAATTTCAATCAGAATTTTTTGATTCTTTTTTTTAAATCAAACATTCAACAAAAGTAAAAAAATTTGTTCCCAAAAAATTACTTTATATCATTGCCATATCATTGTCATATCCTTGTCCATGACCTATTCTTAATTCTTAAGAAATCAGTTCATTCCCGTGAAACTCTGATTTACTTTTTGGGACATTCTTCAGTTAGGCTGGTTTTATTGTTTTTTTTACTTATTTTAAACGATAATATTGATCATCACGGAAATTTTCCAAAATTGTTACAGATTTATTAAAAAGTCAAAATGTTCGTTACATGATTCAATTCAGTTTTTTTATAGTTCTAACTATAAACGTCAACTTATGTTTGTTTGAAATAAAACTAAAATATTGAAAAATTATAATGATATTTATATAGTGAGGTGGTCTCTCTCTTTTTTTAAAGTACTGGTCACATTCAATAGTTAATGTAAATAGATAATAAATAAAATAAACACTCTTTAAAAATATTGTTACCAATTATTTTGTTCATTTTATTTATTCACATACAAAAGTTTCAGTCACCATAAAACAATTAATTGAACACAATAAAATATAAACAAATTATACCAATGATAATAAATAATTTGATGGTCGCGTTGTGTAGCAATCCTTTCTTTACACTGTCAGGTCCATTTTTTCCTTTTGGAAAAGAAAAAAAATAATTAATATGATAATACATTACCTTTTAATAATAGTATTATGCTAGATGTTTGCCCCCAGTTAATTACTTTTCTTTAGATAACTGTAGATTTGTTTTTTTGAAACAAAAATTAATATAATTAATAGCAAATACTATAATTAGAATATTTTGTTGAATTATTTTGATACGATTATTAATTATTATATAAATGTACTTCCATAGTTAACATGAATGAATGAAATAAATCATCATATTATTCAAAAGCCTTATGTCTGCTACTCATTATAATCAACTGTTATAATCAACTGTTATACCACCTTTCAAATAATATTATTATTAGAGTTAATAAGTTAATAACCCTAAAGCAGATTTAAGATAATTATGATGAAAATAAACTATAATTTAACTATTAAATTATAATGCTCCAAAGATTCAATCATTTTAGTTGTACCTTGTTGTCTAATAATTTATTGAGTTCTCTTATAGTTCAAGTTGATTTATAATTGAGATAATATTCAAGCGATCTTTCATAGATAAGAATAAGTTAGAAATTATAAATAATGATAACAATGATCCAATGCATCCTATAAGTATTTACCTGCCATTTATTATAATAATATTATTCATAAACATGGTCAAAATGGTAGTGAAAAATATATGACATCAAAAGTTGGAACTTATTTGGAAGAATTTTTTGGGAAACATGAGCAAATCAGACAGAATGTCAAAAGACATGGTGTTGGAGTTAAAGAAATTAGTGAAAGGAGATGAAATTCAACCTTACATAAAGAATCATCAGAAAAAAGAGTAGCAGAAAATAACAAAAGTGACATAGGATTTGAAATGATGGTGGAAGTAAAAAAAAGACAAAAGATATAAAGATTCTGAGAAGTAATGAATTTGAAGTTATTGTGTTTTGTCATGCTTTCCTCTATAATAAAGCCTTCTAAAATTTTATTCAATTATGAAATTTTTTGGTTTCTAACAAACTATGGGTTTTTATTTTATTCTTTCACATCGCTAATCCAATTAAAGTTTTTTCTTTATCAATGCATTTTCATTTAGTCCTTGTATATAGTGATAACAACAACAAATAGTAGTTAAGCCATATTACTAGCAACAATAGTAGTAGTAATATAGTTTATCAATATAATTATTGTAATTTATATTATCTTGTTAAAGAAATAAGGCTTATATTTTATAAAACAAATAAAACAGACAAAACGAATCATTCGAATAAATTTTTTAATTCGAATTAATACTAATACTAATATTAATATTCACTTATTACGAATAGAAACCCTAGATCCCGTATTGGACCAATTGCAGGCATTGCGATATTTAATATCTATTCTCCCAAAGGTTGCAATAAATTAATTCCGAGACCCAGGTTTACGTTCAATGCAGGAAGAATGGTCAAATAGAATGTTCAATTGTAAAAACATGAAAGATTATGTTTAATGAAATTATTGGGCCACAACTCCAGCATCGTGAGAAAGAACACTGAATTTTTATGCGTGGAAGAGACAAAAGTATCTATAATGGAGACAGACTTACTAATTTGAGGCGACAAAGGACCTTTGAATAAAGAAAATCAATATAAAAAATAGCTTAAATTATAACAATCAATAAATACAATATAAATAAAATAAATATGTCAATATAAATCTATCTAAACATAATGGTAATGATGGTTTTTAATTTAAAGGTGAAATTTTAATTTCTATCTTAGAATTAGGACAATTATGAAGAATTACATTCAATTAGCTTCCCCGGCCACTCTCTTAAGCGGAATACGAAATGGATTCTTTGGATTAAAATTAATACTCACCAAGATTCCTAATCCTTTCTTTAAACATCAAATCCGCATATTTGCGTTTGATAAAGTATTTGGTGCTTGACTAAGTTCGTCAATTTCAGAATTAGTTGATATTATAAATCTTGTTATCATCACTCGAATTATTATCATTGTTGTTTGTCATGGTTATATAATATAAGAATTCAAAGAAAGAATAATGTTGATGTTGAGTCAAATAATATAAATAATATGGTATTATGTATAATTAGTATAGCTAGGAAATAAAAATAGTCATTCCTATGGGATGGGAAAAATCCTGTAATTTCACAAATACCATAAAGTCTGGAAAGATAGCATCCCCTTTTTACATGTGTAACATTTTTTTTATATCGACGTTCAATTGTTTTTAAAGTAGGGGTGTTATCTTTCCAGACTTTACGGTAAAATCGGCTTATAGAGATAATAATAAATAAATTTAATAATTCGATTGATGATTTTTATTTATTTTTTAGAGGTCAACTCAGACTTCTTAAATCTGTATGTGTTTGTACGTGTAATACATATTTAAAATAAGAGACGAAAGTCAAAATTAAAATTAAAAGTTATATGTCAAAACTAAATCAAAAGTCAATAGTCAAAAATCAAAATTAGTTTCGACTTTCGCACTGTTGCGAAACTCTTTAGTTTTGGAAACCAATACTAATTAATATTAATTCGATTCTATTTATTTATAGCAGAAATAATAATAGTTCATTTTATAAAATATAAACCTTATTTCTTTACAAGATAATATTATATTTATAATCTATATTACTACTATATTTGTGGATCATCAATTATATATTTCAAAATTCGAATACATTTATAAATACCCCCCCTTCATAAAATTATATCGTTTTGCCAAGCATTTTATTTTTGTTAGTTATCGTAAATTTGAAATAAATTTTTTTTTTAAAGCATGTAATCTAACTTATATGAGTATATAGACATTCAGTACTGTACTCTTTTGCATTCCTATACTGTATGGTCTACAAAAATAGAAAAAGTCATACACCAACATACAGTACACAGCACCCCATCAATCAAATGGATTCTGTACTCATAAACAGGTGGGACCGTTCTGGGAACACAAAAATTAACAGGAGGGAACACAAAATTTTAACCCATGCCATTCGTTGATTGACCAATTAAAATCGTGAATTTGATAATGTAAAAATAAATGTTGGTTTGATTCATTTTGTCAACAATCACTTCACCAACAATTGTTTCGTTAACGAATTTAAGAAATTAGAAGCAACCATGCGACAAACCATTGAAATAGTCTAATAAATTAAATTGTACTACTCGAAAATGTATTTAAAGGGTTAGTTTTCGACTTGGTTGAAGAATAACTCTCTTCCTAACTCTTCTCTTGACCATATCTCTCGATATAACCAAAATAACCTTAATATAATGAATGTCGATGAAATGCAAACACGACCAGTTTAAGATATACGATTAAGACAAACATGAACGATGTATATATGAAACAAATTTATTAATAAAACAAAATTTACAACTCAAAAAATGTTTTTTTTGCATTTTCTAATAAAATTTCCATTGTTGCTGCATCATCTGTTGCTGATTCAACACTATCCGGATCATCATCAACTGTATTTTCGTTACTTTCGATAAATTCATTTTCGTTTAATCTTTTCGTCATACTTTCTTTTAGCGCGTTGACATTTTTTTTGACTTCGACTTGAAGATAGTCCAAGCATATCAAACATTTAGATTGGCACCTTTGTAGACAATGATTGTGATAACCATGTCCACACGCAAGTACACTACAATTATTCAAATTATAGTTAGTATTGTAATCACAATATACGTAATCGCAAAAAATGTTTGTAGATGGTTTCTTAGAAGTAACAAAGCCTCTTGGAAGGTGACGATCGGTTATTTCGTAAACTAAAGAAGGTAATTTGTATGAGTTAATACCATTAGATGAAGTTTTAGTAATCAAAGGATACTGATTTCGTGCTTGATATATCTTCGT